GGTCACTCAGGAGAGGCCCCGCCCCACAGCGCGCGTCTCGGCGGTCGTGGCCCTCTGGCCAATCAGCGCCCGCCCCCTTCCGGCGCGGGAGCCAATCCCAGGGCTGCCGGGGGGGCGGGGCTGGAGTGAACCGCCTGGTAGCGGGAGAGGAAGCCTGGCTGGGCGTGCTCCTCGAGAGAAGGACGGCGGGGTATTGCAGCCGGCCAGGCCACCTTTCTTCACTTCGTGCTGTCTCGCCGGAGGCAAAACGCCAGAGCGCGGTCCAGTCCAGCCAGAGACAGATCGCTGCCGTGGTGCCTGCATCCTGCTGGCTGAATGACTGGGCCCTGCTGTGCCCGGCACTGGTGCCTGTTAGACCAGCTCTGGGGTCAGCAGCAAGTGGACTCGCGTCCAGTAGGTCGCGGTTTCCAAACTTGTTTTCTGCATTCGTCCCGAATGAAACCAAGGGTGCTTTACTCCAGCGCGAGAACACAGAGCTTTGGGGTGTTCCTTTGAGAAACAGTATTGAAAAAAATTCTTAAAGCCAAAGTTGAAAGGTGCATATAGGAGTCCTATTACAGATCTGATCTTCAGAAGCGCTGACATCGAGAACCTTAAAACTTGTACACTTTTATTGCCTCTAACCTCATTATCTTAGTCATATATAAAACTGTAGGGAGCATCTTTCAGGACAAGCTCAGTGCTTCGATCCTGAACTCTTAAGGGCCACGTGCATTATGATGTCTTCTTTAGCCACCCTATGAAAATTGTCGCATGCTCTCCCCATCCCTTTCCTTGCTTAATTTCGATTTTTAGTGCTTACCACCACCTCAAATGCCCTATATTTTACTTTTTCTTTTTCTGGCTATTTTGTTTCCCCATTAGAGTGTAAGCTGGGAATGTTTTGTAGCTTTCTGCTTCTACTATTGAAAATCTGTGACAGGGCCTAGTATATCGTAGGTGTTAAATTTATTTACTGAATTAATGTAGTTATGAACATGCATTACTATTGAATATTTTAAATAATTATTTTGTAAAGAATCCATTTCTTTTCTTAAAAAAGATCTTGTAAATCCTACCCCCCCAATATGATTTTCTAAACATGATTGGAGATTACTGAACAGTGTTCTCTGAACAAAGAAAACAGCCTCAGTTACGGATATCTGAAAAATGAACTAATTGCATCACTTAATATTCAGCACAATTTGCATTCAATATTCAGCAGCATTGTTTTTAATACTCTCATGTACTGCAAAACTTACATAGCCCCCCCATCCCCACCCCCACAAAACTATTCAAGCTGGGCCCAGGATTTAGCTCAGTAGCACCACACCTGCCTCACAAGCGCAAAGTCCTGAGTTAGATTCCCCAGTACCAAAAAAAACTATTCAATCTGGGCACAGTGGCATCTGCCAATAGACTCAGCTACTTGGGAGGCTGAGACAGAAGGATCTCGAGCCCAGGAGTTCAAGTCAAGCCTGGGCCCTTCAGGCTGATTGTTCAGGCCCCTGTGTTTAGAGCTCTCTCACCTTCCCTCTGTCCTGGGCAGAAGGGTTGAGACAATGGGAGTCCAGGTATCCTGCACAGCCAAGATTGGACCAGCTGGCACCTACCGTACCTTTGCCCACTTTACCATGTGCTTTCCCCAAACAGGACAAAGCACTGTGTCTGGGGAAGGGCTTGCAGATCCTGAGCTGGCACCTGCATCTGAATCCCAGCTTTCATGCTCCACAGCTGTGCAACCTTGGAGAAGTTACTAGGTGTTCTATAATAGGATAATACAACCCTGCTTTGTAGGATTGCTCAGAGGCTTAATGGACTGAACAATGCTTGGCACTCGATGGGCATTGTCAGTTAGCACAGTGATCTAATATGGTGGTTAAAGATCCAGTCTCCAAAGCCAAAAATGTGAGCTCAAATCCTAGGTCTTTCACTCTCTAGCTGCAGGAGTGTGGATTAGTTTCTCCCTCTCTCTCCCTGTCTCTCTCTCTCTCTTTCACTTTGTGTGTGTGTGTGTGAGTCTGTGCACAAACGCGCATGCACAAGCAGCTATGAAATGAGGGCAATGTTCTTCATGAGATTGTTAAGAGAGATAAATGGCTATTAAACATACAACACTTAAACAAGGTCTGGCCGCTTCTTATCTATATCAATACTCAGCAAATATTCCCTGTCAGCACTGTTACCAACTTTTTGTATGTTCAAGGAGGAGGGGTGTACGGGGGATTGAACCCAAGACCTTGCACTGAGCTACATCCCATTCCTTTTTTGAGACAGGCTTGCTTGTGATCCTCCTGCCTCAGCCTCCCAGAGTACCAGACTTACAGGTGTGTAACAACACCATGCCCGGCTCATTATTGACTCATATTTTTGTGTTTTCCAGAGTCTTGACTCATCCTCATTGTATGAACTTGAGCTTGACCTCCTCTTTTCTATTTATTTATGCAGTTGTTTACTCCAAACTCTTTCAGATTGAATTTATGATTGTAGGGCCCCGTCCCTGGAGGGTGTTCCCAGGGTAATCCTAAAGGACAGCATCCAGTGGCTTATTTGAAATACCCTTGGTCTACCAAGGGCAGTTTCTTATCATCAGAGGTGATCAGCAATTGAGCAGACCACGATGTGACATAGCTAGACAATTAGATGACCCATATCAACCCCCATTCCCTTACACATCGCAACAGACATGTCAAAGCAGGTATGCTGTGGATAGGATTCCTAAATTTATTTGAAAATTGAGCTACATGAGATCTAAGATTGCTTCTGGCTTTGTTGCTGTCTTCAAAAATGTGTCTAATGGAAAAATTTGACAAAATTCTTGTGCCTAATTCAACATAGTTCCATAAAGAGTGGAGCACAGAAGCTGGGTGTGGTGGCACATACCTGTAATCCCAGCATTTGGAAGACTGAAGCAGGAGGATTGCTGTGAGTTCAAGGCCAGCCTGAGCTGCATAGTGGATTCAAGGTCAGCCTTCACTACATAGCAAGACCCTGTCTCAAAAAACTAAAAAAAAAGGGAATGGAGCCCAGCAGTGGACTCAGAGGTGGACCGCTCAGCAGCACCTCATAGTTTCATGCTAATTCCTAACCTTGTCTCCTCTAGCAGCCTCAGTGGTAGGTACTTATTAACCAACTTAGATATGAGTCCTACTTTGTACCGTGTGTTTGGATGTGTACGTTGTCCTGAGCCTTAATCACTGTCAGGACACTGCTGGGAACATCGCTTGGCAAGGAGTCAAGATGAAATTATGCTACAGGGCAAGTGTAGAATGCCAAGTCAGATTTAAATAAGTAACAACTCAAAGGTGGGAGATCTGAACAGCATGTAGGAGTCAAGTCAAAGGTGCCACTAGGAGTGATGTGGCTGTCCCCAAGCAAAGGTTTCCTGCAGCCCAAGAGCTTCAGAGGATAAGATGTGAGCGTATAATCCATGATGCTTTGCAGGGAGGTGGGTAGGTCTGGGCCGCCTGCCTTCACTTTGCAGGCCTCTCAGCGTGCTCTGTACACCTGGGCAGCAGAGGCTGTGCTGTTTTGATTTGCAGAAAGACCAAGTCGGAAGTGGAGGGGTGGAGGAGAAGACTGGAAATCAGAATGCCCTATGTGTGCTTTCCCTCACGTGGAGGCATTTCATTTGTTCTCATTTAGTACATTCCTAGGGGAAAACAGTTCCAGGGTTAACCCTTCTGTGTGTTTTTGTTTTTCTTCCTCTTGGTCCATGATGCCAGTGGAGGTCGTCAGCACAGGGAGACCAAGCTGACAAACGAGAGCAGATTATTCTACCATTTTTCTAGATCTCTGAGTTCCACGTCCAATCTGGGGCCCATTACTCCACGTTGTAACCTGCCTAGGAGGTTCACAGGAAGTTTTCCAGCTGCGAGTTCACTGATGACTTCAAATACCTTTAAACATTTTAATGCCATTCAGTCAAGCTTTAATATGCTTATTTCTGATGATTCTGAAATGTAATGTCCGATTTATAACAAGGCACCCTTACAAGCAGTGGTGTGCTGGAGACAGCTTGACCAGGCCTGGGGGAGTTGGCTGGAACTCTTTCTTCCCAAATTCCGCTTCAGCAACATCACCATTGGTAGCTTAAAATCATCCGTGATGAGAGCATTGTTTATACAGTGGACGTTGGCAAATGCTGCATTTACCAATGAGACTGCTGCAAATCTGACAAAACCAGTCATCTATGGCTTGGATCCTAAATGTCTTACAAAGGCTCATGTGTTGAAGGCCTGAAGCCCAGCAGTAGATGGTGGGACTTAAGAGATGGGGCTGCTGGGAGGAAGTTAGGACACTGGGCATCTTGAAAGGGACATTGGGACCTGCTCCTTCCTCTGTCTCTCTGCTTCACAGCCACCATGAGGTGAGCAGCTTTACCCTGAAATGTGCTCCCCACTATGAGGTTCTGACTGTCAACAGGACCAAGGAATCATGGACTGAAGTTTCTGAAATCATGAACCAA